CTCACTGCTTTCCCACAACTGACAATATTCGACTGTGTCCCTTTCATCGGCTGGCCTACAGCGCCATACAAACATCCATAGTTTACATTTTTCAAAAATTTTTCAAGAATTTCCAAAACACTTACTAGGCATGTTCACAAAGCTCACAAAAAATTCCCGAATTGAAGGTCCTGGGCCCTGAACTTTTGGCTAATTTTCGTTTAAAAAAAAATAAAAAAAAATGTTTGTGAAATTTTTTGGGCAGAATTTCTCGGTGCGCTGAATGTTGGACACGGTGCGGCCCCTTTGAGTGTTTGCATTTCAGGAAAATTCGTTGATTTTTTTGTGATTGTTCGCGGACAGCAGTGAATTAGTAATGCATCAGCATCAGCCTGTAAATGAGTCCGGATCGGATACCGAGATTGCGCGCCGTGTCTTTGTACATCGACTCAAAAATGGGTTCGTTTCTTTTTTTTTGGAATTTTCCTGCTAGCCAAAATGTTATGAATATTTTTTTTTTTTTTTAATTAGCAAATGACAGAAATTCAGTGATTTGGTAGTGTAGGGTATCCTGAAAAATGTTTGGATAACAGGAAAAACAGAATTTGACATGACTGGAAACAGACATTAGAAGCGGTAATGTGTGAGAAGTGTAATTTGTGTAAGATCGTTTCTGTGAATAGTAGAGGTAAAGAAAATAACAACAATGATAGTAATTATAACAATGACAGTAATGATAATAATGATAATATTAATAACAGTATCGAAAAATGTGTACTGTTCTGTGGAAGATAAAGTACGTTGCAAAAGGAAGGAGGTGCTGGTATAAGCAAGGACTGGGAAGTTAGCGGCTAATTCCCTTTACCTTGTCCAAGGTTGCCTTTCGATTCCGTGTGATATGCAAATATCCCATCTTTTGACTTGAGTTCTTCCCTCCGTGATGTCCAATGATGTGATTAGAAATGAAATCGGCATTGCTTTGTGGTACCAGATTATTGTGCGGTGCAGCCCCTGTCTCCCCTCCCCTACATATTGTGCGTGCCGTGCGGCAGCAGATTGGAGTTGTTGCCGAATCTTCCGCGCTTCCCGGCTTGTTTCTGTTTATGTATGTATGTGTGTGTGTGTGTGTGTGTGTATTTTATAAAGCATTGTTTGTTGGTTTGGGTGAGTGCTCTCCACACTCCCGCAGGAGTACCCCAATAGCTGCGCAGGCCTTCATCCGTCCTTTGCGTGTTAAAAGTAGATTACTTAAATGTATTGCAGCATGGAACGGGTATCATCACACAGCACAGCGGCCGATACTTTGAATTACATACGACGAATTGTGGTCACAGGCAAATACAACACTGCTGCGTGAGTTTCTTGTGAAATTTTCAGTAGTCTCTTGTTGTTTTGCATATCTGAATGAATCCTTTTGGCACACGAGGAATGCTGCTGTCAAAGCATTTGAAGGTAAGGTAGAAAATGAAGAAATGGAAAAAGAAGAGAAGGAGAACGAAGTTTAAAATTATTAAAAATTAAAAAGGGAGGAAGGGTGGGGGGAAGTATAAAATTATTTGTAATTGCTAAGAAATGTTTCAGTCCATTAAGTCGTATACATTTCTTACCGTTACCACAACTGGACCTCGTCAGTACGACGATTGGGGTAAAAAAGGTATTGGATACTGGAATAGCACCCGTCGTTATTGTTTTTTTTTTGCCATCTGTAGAACTCGCAAAATTCCCATTCTCTACTTGGTTTCTGTACCCCTCACATTCGCATAAC